AGCCGTTTTGTCTCTCCCCTCATATAGCAGTGTTAGCTTGCTCCTTTCTAACCGAATTGCAGTAAATAACTGAATCCAGCCGGAACGGCTATTGACATAAGCAAAACATTGAGTTGTTGTCGAAAACCGTTGTTACGTATTTAGTTTCCTCCTTCCAAAGATCTTTTAACATCTTCCTGCTTTCAATGATACTGCATCTCATGTTTTCCTGTAAACATAACAATATCACTATCTCACTTTTGAAAGTGGTTGTTCTGCTTGTTCTGTTTGCGCTTGTTTTTGAGCTCCAACGTCGTGTGAAAGTTAAGCTCAAAAGCATGCTCCAAAGATTATAATGCAAAAAGTCATATATGAGCGTTCTTAGACAATCGTCAGTACAAGATGCGATTTAAGATAAACAACTTATGGCGCTTAGCTTAACATCCATGTTTTCAGTAAAATTTTTTCCTTGTGCAAAATCTTAAACTTTATCTAATAACATCGTTTATAGACCTTGTCAGACTCCAAGTCTGACTTCCATTCAATTCGGCTGTCAATCCTTCCTGCAAAGCTCTAAACATTCGCGAAGATGACTACATCAGGTTGCAGCTTGCAAGAAACTCCCTCGGGTAAGTTTATTTTTTCCCACGGGTTTCCTTCCTTGTTGGAAGGTGAAAGTAAAATTTGTTTATTTTGATATGAACATCTATTCCATTAATTATGAGCGTCGCCTTATTGCAAAAATCCCAAGAATATTCCTATTCTTTTTCTGTTTCAATTTATTTCTTGGAGTTAGGCAAATTTAGGGGGATTTCTTTCTTTTGTTAAAATATCGAGGATGAATGACAAGTTGTTTTTGATTTTCCAGAAATGTCTCGTTTTCCTACACTTTCGCCAAACACAATGGATTTTCTTGGTAATCTGGATCGGCAAGAGAATGGTTTACCTGAAAATCAACGAAGAGAATTTGAATTGGCTGTGGAAACTGAACTGGAAGATGTACTAGAAGCATTCAATGCTGAAGTTAAAAACGTTCCTAATCAACAATTGAATGATGCGCACTTAAACAATAAATAATGCTGTCTGCTTTTGATTCAGCAAATTGCTCAAATTGACGGTTCAATTTCAATGCTTTTTTAAAAGGGTTCCCGCAGCAATATACATAATCACTACCATTAGGATAAGCCAAAGAGAATTTTTCACCTGGAATTTCCGAATAGCTATGAGATGGAACATCCTTGCGCAATGTTTTCCTTGCCTGCTATGCTCCTATTCCATTCTTCAGACAACTTCC